AATCAGTCGCCAACTACCCACCATGATTATCATAGCCTTAACCACTTGGATAAGTAAAAAAAAAGTATGAACGTTTTTATTTTTAAAAATATTTATATAGGTTTTACAACACAACTTCTCTCTTCTAACACTTAACCATTTCTATTGCCACTGTTAGAGCTTATTTTTATTATTTTTTATATTACTCTGTGTAAATGGTTATATTATATTTGACCAGGAGTGCCTGGTCACGTGTGTATATTCTATTGTATATATATAGTGTGGTTGGAAAAAAAAAGGTGTGTGTGTGAGAATAGTATTGGTGCCTTTATTCTCTCTTTGGCAGAGGCGTTGGAAACACCATTGGGGTGTCATTTGGATAATTCAAACCTATACAGTCCTCTAGATAACGGCCTTCTTTCTGTTAAGGAAAAGATACCTTAACAGCCCCCTATATTAAATAATAAAACTAGGCAATAAAATAATCCCTTATATCCATATTAAGGTCTTCCAGGGATAAGTTTCTTTTTAAAAATTTTAATTAAAATTGCTAGCTTTCGGGAATGGAAGTTCTTCTACATGGGGATTATATTGAGTTTTCTCCTTTAGAAGGGCTTTAATGACCCCGAAATCTAGAGATTTGAATTAAATTTAAAAAAAATTCACTCTTGTGAAACGTCCCGCTCCAAACTTTGTGTCTGAGAAGCGATATTTTCATAAAGAGATGATCTGGCTTTGTGTCTTCTGCTCGAATGAATGTTTTTCTGATAGAATTTTGTTCCTGCATGCTAAAAATGAACTGGCTTCACCCGTGGTCTCTGCTTTTTGGATTTTTTTCCCGATATATTTTGTATCTGATAATCAAATATGATACAACAATATTGTCATATTCATTTTCTGACTAAAAAATAATTATTTTTGCCCAGAACCTGTGAATTTCAATTTTTCTTGGCTAAAAATCCGATAAATATATCTTCCAGATTTTTCTCTATGTCCTGTTAAAACACGCTTTACATGTACATAAGGTCAGGTGATATTACTTCCCATCTTCACCGCTAGAGGCGCTGCTTGCGAGCGAAAGGTCATTTTTGCAACGCAATTTGCAAATAACTTGTATATTGAAAATTATTGATCACACTATGTATTTATATTTTCCTCCTATATGATTATAAAATGCTATCCTCTTTCCCAGATCTCTTGTTAATCGTTTTCTTCTCATTAATATACATTGATTCGAAATATGTCTGAAATCTTCCCTCTATATAATTCTTCATTCATCGACACATCATTCAACTTTATTAAGGAAACATTTTAAGATTGAAAACAGACTATCGGTGGGGGGGCATTTGTCTCTGAGATAGATAAAATAAGATTGAAAGAAAACATGTGAAAAAAAAAGGGTCAGGTATTGATATAAAAAAATTCGGCACATCCTAACCGTTCACATGAGCATTTTTAGATGGCAGAACGCCATCTATTGAAACAAAAATCAACTAAACGTTGATTTAGATTATTCAAAAATTTTCCGCCAACCTAATTTCTTGAAAATTCAACCACGTACGCATTTCGGGCTGTTGGCTCTTGTCAGCGCGATGCATGCTGTACTTTACTTGCGACCAAAAATTGGGTCCCAGAGGCTTCTTGAGATATCAAGAAATAGGTATTTAAAGTCAAGTTAGCGTAAATTCCCCTTTCATGTGAAAAAAAAAAAGACAGAGAAAAAATGAAATATATTAATATAATGATATTTGAAACTAACCATAATAGATAGTAGATCTTTATATTGAAGTTTGTCAGTTTTTGGCTCCTATCTTCATGATGGTTTGATATACTCGTAGAGATCTGAATATTTGGATTTCTTCCTCCTTTGAGGTCATTAACAATCTTCTTAAAAAATCAAGTTAAAACTCTCAACAGACTCTGACTTGTTGTTTTGCTCTACAATGGAAAATAGGTGCCGTTGCCACGTTAGTCACCTTGGACCAGAATTTGGTTGAATATTCTAAGGGTCCATGGGGGACTAGTGTGGTTGGACTTCCCCTGACTCTGACTTAAATCCTATACAGTAGAACTACCTTCCTGTGAAAGACAACACCTAATTTCAGAGCCAAAGTGTCCTTTAGGGAGAGGCGTCCTCTTACTGGAGAGTTGCTAAATAGTAAAAATGGTAATTTTGTAAATGAAAACTGTCCTTTATAAAGAGGTGTCCTCTAGCGGGGTGTCCGCTAAAGAGAGGTTCCACTGTATTACAATAAGTCGCCTGTTCTATCCTGCTAGTGCTAACACCTCGTTATTTGTAACACGTGTGTAGTCTCGTGGAGAGAGGACTACCTGAGAAATCAGCTCACTAGTATGAAATAGTGCTAAGCACTTTTACTCGCGTCCTGTTTTGATCGTATATTGTACACGCTGATATACTATTTACCGAAATATCACACACTATTTATTTATTTGGATTTGGTCTTATTACCTTGTGTTTATAATCTACTAGCGGACGTACCCGGCTTCGCCCGGATTTTATCCGAGTAAAGGTTTGTCTAACGAATCTCTCGATAAAGTGAACATTTTTTCCCGGTCCCTTGAAAAATACTCGATAAGTTGAATAAAATCAATATTAATTGGTTCCCTCGGTAATTGTAAGTTAAAGGAATAGTACTTTGCCTTGGAATTGTATCATTATTCTTGTCTCAAATAAATTGCCGTGTCATCCTGAATTTTGTCTTTCCTAATTTTCTACATTACAAAATCATCGTATCATCATGATCTTTACATATTTAATGTAGTAATCGACAACATGGCTTTTGAAGATCGAAATCTACTATTACTGCACTAACTGAAATAATAAAAATTGCGTTAGAACATAAAACAAGAGAATATGCAGCAATAATTGCAGTGGATATTAGTGCAGCGTTTGATAATGCATGGTGGCCGGCCTTGATGAAAAGACTAGATGAAGATGGTGTGCAGGCTTCAATGATAAAACTTCTACAATCATACTTTGATAATAGAAGAATAAGATTTAGATATTCCTCAACTGAAATTAATAAGAAACTAAGTAAAGGATGTCCACAGGGAGGACCACTGTCTCCCACATTATGGAATATTCTTATTAATGAGATACTGAATAATAATCTGGATAATAATTGTGAAACAATAGGATATGCAGATGATATTACGCTAATATGTTGGAATAAAACTCCAGAACAACTAAGAAAGACAATAGATAATGTATTAAGAAAAATCAATAAGTGGTGTGAAAGTCGTAAATTAAAATTGTCAGATGAAAAAACAAAAATATTATATTATTTAAATGCAATAGCGATATAATAGTCTCAGGTAGCAAGTTAATTAAACCGGCTGAAGAACTTAAGATCCTAGGAGTGACTATTAAAAATCACGGAGTCAGAAGCCAACTGGACTTTACGCCTCACGTTAATGAAATGATCATAAAAGTAACTAGAGCTAGTGGATACCTATTTGGCCTGACAAAGAAAGCATGGGGTCTAGACTTTAGACGAAGACTGATATTGTATAAGACATTATATCGAAGTACAATTACTTATGGTTACCCAATATGGTATCCATTCATAAACAAAAAGTCTAAGGACAAACTAAATTCTCTTCAATATAGTATATTAAAACATTGTATACAGGCCTACAGTACAACATCATCGGATTGTACACATATACTTGCACAAGTCCCCAAACTTACTGATTATATTGAATCTAACATGTTGAAAACCGAAATAAATTACAACCGATTTGACTCTTCAAGTAGGAATATAATTTCTAATTATATAAGGGAAAAATTGCAGAAATACTATGAGAAGACTAATACCATTTTCAAGTCCTTCTTCACTGATTCCCAAATACCCAAATATGTCAAGCCAAATTTTTACAATGTCCAATTTTTTACTGGACACGGTAACTTTAGATCATATTTGTACAAAGTCAGAAAGACGGATTCGCCTAAATGCTCATGTGGTGCAGAAGAAGAAAATCCTGTACATATTCTAACGGACTGTCGACTTGTAGAGGACTTGAGAGTCAAAAATCAAATAAATATAAATTGTCTAATTCAAATAGTTAATAATAGATATATGTATATTAATTTTAATAGATTTTGTAGAATGTTTTTTAGTAATAGATAGCCTGGGCTGTAATAACTGACATATAGTTATATGCTGTAAATAGCTCTAAATTTCTGTTCTTATCTGTGATGTTCACTAATATTCATTATAGGGTAATTAAATCGTTAACAAACTGACAAATATGTTAATAATTTCTATTATAATAACTAAAATCATATTAATAATTACTGTAAATAAGCTCCCAAACTTGTTTATGCATGCAAATATCCAAGACGGATATCGCGTGTTTGTAAATGATAATAAATAAAAAAATCATGATAATATTTAGAGCAGATTGTTGAATTATAACAGATAAATTAGAATATTTATCTTGATTATTTTTAGGCGAAAAGTTATTTCAAAAATTTTATTTGCTAGAAACTTTCCCAGTACTATACTAAATAACTTCCCAAAGTTTCATGGCGTTCCAATGAGTGGTTTGGTCAGGCATATAGGACAGACAGACACACATAAATTCATTTTTATATATATCTATAATCCAAATTGTGCTTTATCATCAAACCCTTCAGTTGGTGCAATCAACCAAACGGGTTCAATCACACTTGGAATTGTAAAAGTCGAACTGCTTTCTACATGTATGTTATATAATTTGAGATTGAGATAAATTCTTAGGTTGTTTTAATACATGAGTATATTTTCAGTCATGTGAAACCTTAGAAAATATAATAAAACAGTTTTATCATAATTTGCCTCAATTGTTTGATATTAAATAATTGAGAAAGTGATATCCTACTTAAAGCTTGAAGAATAAATAAAATAAAAGATTACGTATTTACATATCTACAGAAAGATTTGAGCCGGCCAAAGGAAAAGAGAAAATATCGTTTAACAGGCTACTAACCAAAGTGCATGATTTTTGAAAAAAAAAAAAGTAGGGAGTACGCGGAGTTGAACCATGGACCTCTCGATCTGTAGTCGAATGATCTACCGAATGCTCCAATGGCCCCCGATCCTTACAAAAGGTCCAACCCCACCAGCGAGTGCGAGTAATCAAACGGGGTTCTGGCACATTTGTAAGTGCAAAGTCGAACTGCTTTTCACATGTGTAAGGTAGACATGTGGTGCACTTACAGTTAAAATCAGTCGTCAACCTCTACCCACCATGATTATCATAGCCTGTACCACGTGTACTAGGGATAAAAAAAAGAAAAAACTGAACTCCACAGAATAAAAAAAAAAAGTGAGCCGGACGTGATTCGAACACGCAACCTTCTGATCTGGAGTCAGACGCGCTACCGTTGCGCCACCAGCCCATAGATATAAAAAGGAAAACAACAATAATAGGTTTATATAGTCTAAAACTCGATATCTTGCGTTCGACGAGGTAGTTTGATCTAGGAAATATAATTTGAAATTAAGTACAATTTATACAACATACATGAAACGGACTTGCAATAAGAGGAGTCGCCCACAAGCCATGGCCTCTACAATGTATACTTGGGATAATGATCTAAAGAGCCAAGGGTCGCCTCTCCCGTCAAAATAGACGCCTAAAACCAGACGCCATCTATTGACCGTCGCCGCAATTAGCGGCCTCGGGTCGGTGACAAAGCCACAACACCAGCTTTGGCAAACTGAAAAGCATCCACCTAGAGACCATGGTTTCGGGCTAATGGCCCTCGTCAGTCTAGGGCGGACTTTATTCCATGAGATCCACATGGGATCTAATGGAATCTTGACAATCTATCAAAGAGGTGTTTAGCTGGGATAATAATAATAATAAAACACACGACTAAAGAGGACACAAAGTTTATTAAAGCTATCTCATCGAGAAAAAGAGACACACAAAGACAGTCTCATTGAGACTAGGAAAGATAGAACAGTTCACTTGGACTTGAAGGATAGAGTCTTGCGCTGTTCCTCCTCGGACGTGGCCTCAGCGTGTTGCTTGAGCTCCGAGCTGCCGGCAGTAACGCCCCAGCCGTCCGGCACGCTGTATGCGGCCGAGCGTGCCCGTCCCGTGCCAGGCTGGAGCTGCTCCCAGTAGTCACGTCGAGCCCTGTACTCACTACGTTAGTACCTCGACATACTAACACATTCAATATATGATGCACTAGCGCGCCATCTGTTATCAAAATTCGAAACTATTTTAAACACGTAAGATTCTTTTTTTTTTTAAATTAAACAATTGAAAAAATATATTCGTAATTGTATGTAATTCTACTGTCTTCAAAGCTCATGTCCATAGTTCTTCTAAAATACCATTCCAAGAGTCTAGCAACAGTATCACTATAAAAAGAAGTTCCAAAAATGCAATATAACAGCGGTATGGTAGATTAAAATGGCGAAACCGCTGGAAGGGTTCACCACTGATGAGCCAGGCCCTCCCTTTAATTTTTCCATTGCAGTAAGGGCAGAAGAAATTGTTTAATTTCAAAAAGAATCATACGCGTTTAAAATAGTTATGAACATTCAATATAGTTTGAGTCAAAAGGCGATCCATTAAGTTTATATAAAAGGGCGTACCTGGATCTGTAAAGAAATAAAAAATATTTTTTCTCAAAATATTTCGAGAGATTGCTCCCTTTTTAATATGCTCCCTGCAATAAATTGATAAAGAGGGAACAATCTCTCGAAATATTTTGAGAAAAGCTTTTTTTTTTCTTTGCAGATCCAGGTACGCTCTTTTATATAAACATTCAATATAGCCATATACATGAAAATATAGTTTTTGATTGACCGGTATCCATTAATTATTATTATTATTTTCTTATCACTAGTACACGTGGTACAAGCTATGATAATCATGGTGGGTAGAGGTTGACGACTAATTTTTACTGTAAGTGTACCACATGTCTACACATATGAAAGGCAGATTCAATATTTCTTTAAATAAGAGGCATTTCGGCCAAGTTTGGGAGTGGCCGCTGCTCATCATAAAACAACTCGAGGAGCATGAACTCATGGAATTCGTGTAATCTTTACACAAGGGGATAAGAAACAACAACAACAACAAATGTTTTATTTTTTTCAAAATTTCGATAAAAATCTTCTGTGTATCTTATATGTATGCTATCACACACAAATTAGGCATGTTGGGAACATGAACAGCGCACTTGGCTTGGGCTTGTCTAAACTTATGGAGGATTTGGGCTCCTGACGGGATCCGGGCGTCCCTTCGGAGAAGGTCTCGTCTGGTGTAGATGTTTCTCCTTTATCTAACACTCTGTAAGCTCTCTCTTTTGCTGTTGACAAGATGTCAATAAATTATTTTAAATTGTCACAGAAATTAGGCTTAGTTTCTCCGTACTTATTACCGTCTAGAAGGATTTCAAGATGGCCGCAGGATAATCTTTCCGTTCCAGAGATTGTACCCAGGATGTCCGTTCGTTGACCTAGGGTAGTTTATCTTTCCACAGAAGTCTCAGACATTTCTACTGAGAAATGGTGTACTGTGGTTGAAATACAAGCTACATACATCATATCAGTCGGTTGTTGTTGTCGTGTCCAATGAAGAACCTCAGATGTCTCCATACATCTCTATCACAGCAGTCGCAATGTCCACTATCTTGGGTGTGTAAAGCTGCTGCTCTGAGTCCATGTCAAATTTCTTTTGTTGTTGTGTCCAATGAAGAGCCTTAGATGTCTCCATACATCTCTATCACAGCAGTCGCAATGTTCTCTATCTTGGGTGTGTAAAACTGATGCTCTGTGTCCATGTCAATTTTCTACAAGGCTGCTGCTATTGATGGGAATGAGAATATGTGGGTCGGTGTTAGTTCCACACCAGGACAGTTGTTGCATGTCCTATAGGTTCTTGTGCCATCTGGATGTATTTTCAGTCGGTGGACGAGTTTTATAAATTTCTTGAAAGTAGTAAGTCTCTCAATCTTGGAATACAAATTAACGTGTATAGATGACACGTCACATGTAAATATTTAAATCCCAAGTTTCAGTTTGTTTATTCTTCTGTTTCCTTTGTAATAGGCGCAAATACTTCAATAACGCGCCTCTTGTTGGATCATAATTAAATAAATAGATGGTGACGTCACATGTGAATATGCAAATATTTAATCATAAGTTTGTTTATTTATCTTTTTATTCTGCAATAGGCGCAAATACTTCAATATCCCACGCCTTGTTTGATCATAATTAAATAAATAGATGACATCACATGTAAATATGTAAATATTCAATCCCAAGTTTTAGTTTATTTATTTGTTTCCTTTGTAATAGGCGCAAATACTTCAATATCGCGCCTCTTGTTTGATCATAAGGATTGAATGACACATCATATGTAAATATGTAAATATTCAATCCCAAGTTTTAGTTTATTTATCTGTTTCCTTTGTAATAGGCGCAAATACTTCAATATCTTACTTCTTGTTTGATCATAAGGATTGAATGACACATCATATGTAAATATGTAAATCCCAAGTTTTTGTTTATTTATCTGTTTCCTTTGTAACAGGCGCAAATACTTCAATATCGCGCCTCTTGTTGGATCATAATTAAATAAATATAAATGGATGACGTCACATGTAAATATGTAAATATTTAATCCCAAGTTTTTGTTTATTCTTCTGTTTCCTTTGTAATATACTGAAGATAGAGGCTGCATGGCCGGCATTCATATTTCTATGAAAAATAGACACTTCGGCCAGTTAGAGTTTTTTTTTTTATTTTCTCAACGTTTGAACAAAAATCGTTTGTCTTCGTCAGGAGAAATAAATAAAAATAAAGTATTTGGCCATTAAAAATTGTTCTGAGGTTGCAAGGGCGTTTTCACGTGATTTTTCGAATTTAGTATAACATCTAAAGCACGAGTCAAAAACAAATATTAAACTCGTCAAAGACAATTTCCTATAATAGGTGAAAATACTTCAATATGTCTTGTTTGATCATAATAAATATGTGTGTAATAGGTACCTAGAAATTATTCGAAAAAGAAAAAATAAACAATATTAAGGTAAAGGGTTTCTTTTAAATTTGATTTTCGCAAGTTTTCGAGCAAAATTTCTGTTCTTCAACGGACATATACTTCTATATACAATATCAACTTTGTACAGTAATAAATGTGTTATTGGCATGTGTTGGGCGTGCATCAAACACTTTATAACTAAAATATTAGACGTATATTATAATGGGATGAAATATATATTAATTTATAGATAATTTGCTATGGATATTGCCATATTGGGTTGGGAAGTCTATTTTTCTATTAATGCTATTTATTTTTGATGATACCAGTGCTTCCAGAAATAATCGTTGTTGCTTGCTTTCTATGTCGTGGTAATGGGCTATTGCTTGTTTGAGATTGTGTCCAGTGGTGCAGGTGTGTTGATATTTTTTTTTCAAATAAAATAAATAAATAATTGGATGATATACAATATAGGACCGTCGAGAAAGTGTTAATTCCAATACTCACCTTGCCCTGACCCAGGGTTTGGTATGTATGAGCAGTCCCGCGCCCCAGAGGTCGTGTTTCTCGCTCCCCTCGGGGAGTTCGCCCCCTCACGTCCCTGAGTTCCTCGGCCACAGCACGGATGTGGTATGGCTCAACACCACAGCATCCCCCGATATAACGTACACCCAGGTTGTAGGCCTCGCGGGCATAGCGATGCATGTCCCAGCGGGTGCATACACGGGGCTCCAGAGCTGCAACCATATACCATATAGAACTGTACAATAAAATAATCCAATATAGAACGATATTGAAAATTATCCCGCATGTGTTTCTTTTGAACGAAAAATCGAAATTTATTTTAAGGAGAAATAACAATTATTTCTAACCTTAGGGATGAAGTATGAAGGGATGAATTGTGAAGAGTAATGATAAACTGAAAAATAAAGTGTCCAGGGATGGGAACCGTTTATTTTTCCGTTTATCATTACCTTTCACAATTCATCCTTTCATACTTCATCCCTAAGATTAGAAATAATCGTTATTTCTCCTTAAAATAAATTTCGATTTTTCGTTCAAAAGAAACACATGCGGGATAATTTTCAAATGTTTT